CTGTGTGCTCTGCTTTGTCTTTTCATGTTGCTCTTTGGTTAATTAGGGTGTTGGAATTTGAGGCTTCCTCACTGCCTTTGAAGCTTGCTGACGGCTCACAGTGCCCTGTTCCAAATTAACACTAATTTCAAGGGACAGGTTTTTTTTTTTTTTTTTTTTTTTAATTTTTCAGGGGGCTTCTTTCCCCCTCTGTGCTTGCAGATGTGCAGTTATTCCTGCAGCCGTGCTTGGTGGTACGCGGAGACGCCCGCTGGAAAGCCAGGGCTGCCTCGCACAGCAGGATGCGTCCCATTCCTCCCCCCGAGAGCAGCAGCGGTGCTGGGCACCCATCCCCCTGCCCCCCTACTCGTGTCCACCGTCTGTCTGCCTGTGCGGGTTCTGCGTGGGTGGTGCAGCTGAGATCAGAGCAGCTCGGTGCACCTCTTGCCCGACCTCCCAGACTGCCGGGAAGGGGCCGGGTCCTCCTCTGACACCCACCCTGCCTTGTGTCCTCGTCCCCTTGCCCCAGGCACCAACATCCCCTATGAGACACACACACAAAGGCCATGTCCGTGTCCCCCCCGGCCCTGGCACAACCTCCATCGCAACTGGCATCTGATGGACACCAGCTGCTCCCTCCCCAGCCCAGCCAGGAACAATAAAGCCCCCCCACCCCCACCTCTGAAAAAAGAAAAAAACCATATAATAAGTCATTAAAAGGGAAGATTCTGCTGCTTATTTGTGGTCTTGCTTTGGCCTCCTCTGCGCTGGCCAGTGGCCAGGCCCGCCGGGGCCCTGGCTTCTTGCTGAGGGAGTGTCCCAGCGCAGAGGAATCCTGCTCCATCCTCTGTCTCCCCAGCACCGCGCGGTGCCTCCTTCCTGCCCCGCAGTCCCGAGGGAGCTGGGCAGCAATCGGCGTCCCTCAGGGGAGAGCCACTTCAGGACATGCCCTGATGCTGGGCTTTTTGAGTTCCTCCAGGTGCCCAGCCTGCGGGGTGGGGTGGCTGCATACAGTGCCTGGTACCCCCCGGGGTGTCTGCAGCAGGCAGCACTGGGATGGGGGGACTGTGATACGGGATCACCCTCTTGGAGGGGGTGTGTGGGTAGGCTGGGAGCAGGGCGGCCTCGTGGGTGCAGCTTGTGCCTCTTGGGGTCTGCCTCTGCCTCCTAGCTTCTTCGGTGAGCTGGGCTGAGTTGTGCGTCCCCTCTTTGCTGCACCAGTCAGGGATGGGAACCCCTTGTTTGATGGGAACAAGGAGGACAGCTGTCCCTGGGATGCTACTCATGTCTCCATCCCCTGGAGCAGCCCAGCTCCTCCATGAAAAGAGCCAAGAGGAGTTTGATCTAAAACCCCAGACTTTCCCCCCAACCGTGTTGGAGGGGAGTGGATTTCTCTTCCGTGCTGAAGCAGCTGCAAATAAAGTCAGCGACTTCGCCCGGAAATGTCGGCCCTGCTGTGTGCAGAGCTCTTGCGCTGCCTTTGAGGAACAAGCTGGCAGTTCTGGACATATTGCAAAGCCTTGGCGCGAGCAGGGAGGGCCAGGGTCGGCACAGCCTCAAGGGGCTGCAACTCACGCGGTTGCGGTGAGCTGGGATCAGAACTGGCCGGCATTGAGATGGGTCCCTGCGCAACATGGGGGCTTGTCCCTGGCATGCATCCCCTATGGGATCCGGGGATGGCAGGTGGCCCAGGCCATGGGTGGGCTCGCAGGGCTGCAGAGCCAGGGGCTGGGCGAGCAGCTGAGGCCAGCAAGATCTCCTGGGGCTGTGAGATCCTGATGGTGCTTTGCAGGGTCTGTGGGAGCTATTGGGGCGAAGACACTGCTCTCGGCTTTTTGGGAGATGCCAAAGGGACGTGGAGCTCCCTGAAGCCTTTTCCCTACCCTGCTTGTCTCCTTGCCTGTCTCCAAATGCCTCCTAGGGCAGCCTCCATCTGCACGGGTTTCATGCTCCCTGGAGAGCTGAGTCTGACTGTCCCCAGCTTCATCATTGCACCCACTAGGGCAGCTTGGCCAAAATGCTACCCACCCGAGGATGCCGGGGGGGTTTATGGGGCAAATGCAGCAGGGATGAGCTGGGAGGGTCCCTGGTTTTGCTTGCCTGTGTCAGGAGCTGGTTGTGTCTTGCTGCGGTGCATGGGTGGGAGCGAGGAGTGGACCGGATGTGTGTGCTATTCGCCATGTCAGCTGTCTGCGGGGTTTTCCAGGGGAAACCAAAGCCAACGAGCCTCTCTGGGACTGGAAACATCTGTGTCAGCAGAAAGGGGGGATTCCTGGCCCAGCGTGGGCCATGGGATAAGCTCTTGGGGAGGCAGGTTGCTGGTACTGCCCCGTACCACAGGGTCTCACAGGGTGCAAGCTCCTGGAGGATGCAGCAGTTGGGATATCATGTGGCAAGAAGTTCCCTGGATTAATGCAGCACCGTGTAATGATGCATGGCCTTATTCCTGCCCCACTTTCCCTGTGCATCCTTGCAGCAGCATGACGGGCAAGGTGGGTTGTAGGCTCTGTGGTCTCAGTGCTCACAGGGTGCCACATGTTTCCCTCTGCAGCGGGCAGCCGTGTCAGCCAGGAGCTCCGTTACACAAAGGAGAAGCTGGGTGAAGAGTCCGTCTACACATCCCAAATGTTGATCCAGACCCCAAAGCAGGAAGGCGAGAACATCCTGACGCAGGAGGCCCTACAGCTCCACCTCGAGGCTGCTCTGGCGGCCAGCAAAGTGCAAGTCTCGCTGTACGGAAAGTGAGTCTGGCTCCGGGGACAGGAAGCCCCGCCGTGCCTCACTCCCCGCCTTGTTGTGCCCTGGATGCCCCATGACCTCTCTCAGGATGGAGCCCATCCTCAAATATCTCTTTTACCTCTCCAGATCATGGGATTTGAACAAGATCTGCTACAAGTCAGGCGTCCCCATTATCGAGAATGGCATGATCGAGAGGGTAAGTCCAGGGTACGGCATGGCAACTGGGACACCCCAGGCTCATGGCTGGATTGACAGGGGCATTTGCACCATGAGAAATTCCTGCACAGAGATCTCTCTCCTGGGAAATGGGCACTGGATGGGCCACAACTGGGTTGGGGACTTTTTTGCCTCAGATGAAGGCATGAGCCAAGAGGAAACATGTCGTTATGGGAGGGTGCCACCCGGCGGGAACTGTGGATAGCAGGAGATGGACAGGGAGGCTCTTGGGCGAGGGCAGTTCTGGGGGCCTGGTACATCCCTGCCAACCCCTCACTTCTTTTTCACCCCACAGATGATTGAGAAGCTATTCCCCTGCGTGATCCTGACACCGCTGGACTGCTTCTGGGAAGGGTCCAAGCTGCAGGGAGGCTCAGCGTATCTCCCGTGAGTGTGTGGGGGCTGTGTCAGGGTGTGAGGGAGTCAGGACACCGCACAGGGCTGTGTAAGGCCAGGAGATTGGAGCAGGAGGCTGTGGGCACAGTGGCTAGCAAAGACCTGGGCTTTCCAGCCCTCCCCTGTGCAGCCAGGCTCTGCCATCCTCATGGCAGAGCGGTGCTGAGGTCTCTCCACTGTCTTGCTTGTTCTGCTAAGCCCCAGAAGGGTCCTAGGAGCACTGTCTTACGACTGTCACCCGCCCTGCTGGGTCAGCTCCAGGGGACAGGTCCTCTGTCCCTGTCTACAGGGCCTTAGTGGCAGGGGTAGAGCTGCAACGATGCAGCAGACGGCTGCGGCCCACAGGCAGAGGCTTGTGCACAGCCTGCCCAGCCCTGCTTTGCCACACTGGGCCATGGCACAATCCATGTTCAGAGACACAGGGACAGAAAGGCAGTGGAGCCGTGGCTGTGCCACATGCAGGTGTCTGGGGGCTGCTCCCTCCTTGCTCAACACCCCCCGCACTTTGCAGGGCTGTGACGATGGGGAGGGAGCCGTGACACCCTGCGCTCCTGAGCTGCACCCATAGTCGTGTGCTGAGGGGCTTGGAGTCACCCAGGCTGGCCAGGAGCTAGGGGCAGAGCTGAGATTTCCCTGCAGCAAGCACCACTCTTGCCATGGCCAGCTGAGCCCCAGGGCTGGAGGAAGTTCCCTTGGCTGGCTCCCCACGCCGCGCCAGCCCATAATTGTGTTTCTGTGGGGCTGGGGAGCCTGCGGGCCGGGAGGAGGGGAGCCCGCACATTCTTTCTGTTTACAAGTGTGTTTGTCCGGGAGAGACCGGGGAGACTTGTGCATTGTCAGCAAACGGCAGCCTCATGTATTCTCATGCTAATGCTACTTTGAAAGCTGCCAGTTGCCAAACAGATGAAATAGTGGCGTTATTCAGGCTGCTGTGGGATGGGAGGAGGGGGAAGGGGCCTCAGTAGGCCCAGCCAGAACTGGGGGACCAGCTTTGTCCCCTCAGACCTTGAGCTCCCTCCATCGCAGCCTGGCCAGACTGGGGAGAAGCCTGGACCGGGAGTGAACAGGGCTGGCGTGGCCATGCCAAGTGGGACATTTGCAGCCCTGTCTGCCTGGGGCCTGGTCACGGCAGCATCCCCAGCTCCGGCAGCATCCCCAGCTCCGGTATCCGCCTGACTGGGTGACACCCAGAGCCAGCGACAGGACCCACCTTCCCTCCACACCCGGGCAAGTCGGCACCCAAAGGGGCACCCCTTGGCCAAGCCAACCACTGGGGCTGTGCCGGCCAGCCCAGGGGGCTCTTTTCCCCCCTTTTAACACCAAAGGGTGAGCAGGGCGGGAGCTGGGAGAACAAAGAGCAGCAATCTATGGAAAGACAAAAGGATTTGCCCTGGCTCAGTGAAGCAAGCGAAAGCAGATAAAAGGGGCTCTCTTTGGAAGCAGCAGCAGCTCCGGTTGGTATGTGGGAATCTCAGAGCGCCCGGCTCCAGCCCAGCCAGCCTTCATGAATTATTAGATTGCATTTCTCCCCAGAGCCCACACTCACTTGGGGCTTTTTCTTCCCCTCTTTGGAGCTTTGGGCTGGGTTTGTTGGCTTTTTTGTCTCTTTTTTCTCTTAAAAAGAGGCCGAGTGAGGCTGGGAGATGGCAGTGGGAAGTGTGGCTGTGCTAGAGCCACTGTTGGCCCAAGAGCTGGGCATCCCAGTATGCCACTCTGCTGCAGAGCTGGCAGCCCCTCATCCTGCTCCATTCCCTAATTTCCCAAGTCTGGGACAGAGATATCTCGAGCAGAGCATCCCGCAAAGGCAACAGAAAAGCCCCTTCTGCCACGGTCCCTAAGTCTTGTGGGTGCTTACTGAGCCCCCAAGGACCTGGTACTGGACATTGCTGACCCTCAGGCTTGTCTCAGTGACCTGCTGAGGAGGATGCTCTGGGAGCAGGCAGGACTTTGCTGCGTGCCGGGACCCGTGCTCGCCAACTGGCTGGGCTGACGGAGATCCCTCCCAGCAGATGCCTCTGGTTTGGTGGCGACCTGGGTGTGTATCTGCATCTCTCTAGCCCTGTGCTGAGGCAGAGGGGCTGGGTGGGCTGCACCTGGATCCCTGGGACCCATGCCAGCCACCCTGCCCCACAGAGTACCCAGCATGGGCACACAGGGAAACCGAGGCCAGCATTTGGCACAGGCACAGAGCCACGTGTGGTGTGGCAGAGCAGTGCAAAGCACCTTGACAAGCCCCCAGGGCATATCTCTGCCTTCTTTTCATCTCAAGCCCCAGAGCTGCAGGGTGAACGAGAACCTACTCCTGAGCACCAAAACAGCCAGCTTGGGCAGTGGGATGGGGCTGGAAAGGCTGGGTGGGGAGGAGACACCAGGAGCCCTTGTGTGCCTGCTCCCCTCTATCAAGATGTTAGCCTGCGGGCAGTAATCGGCCTGACTGCTCGCACAAAGCAGGGCCGGGCGGCCGGGCGCGCGGGGCCAGCTCTCTGCCCTTTGTCACAGCGTAACAGGATCAGGCACGCTACTTGACTCGGGGCACGGCCTGCTGCGCTGTGCAGCCCTGCGCTGGGGCACGAGGGATGCTGCAGGCAGCCCCAGGAAGGGGACATGCTGGGGGCTGACACTGCTCTCCTGCATCCTCGCAGCCTGGCTAGCCCTGCCTTTAAGGGCACCCCCAGGGCTGTCTGGGTGCCAACAGCCGAGCGTGCATGCCAGCCCCACAGCATGGCACGATCCCAGGCGTGCAGTGGGGTCTTGGTGGCAGTCCCTGGTGTGGGTTTCAGCATCCCCCATAACTCCCATGCTGCTTTTTCCACAGGGGCCGCCCGGATATCCAGTGGAGCAACCTGGACCCTCTGCAGTTGATGGAGGAGCTGGGGCAGTTCACATCCCTGGAAGGCTTCAAAGAGCTGCTGGACAAGGCGGAGGTGGGGCAGGCTTACATGGAGCGGCCCTGCCTTGACCCCCGAGACCCCCAGTGCCCCACCAGCGCCCCCAACAAGCAGAGCCAACAGGTGGGTCACAGCCTGCAGGGACCAGAATGGGTGCGGGTCCATGGGTGTTGCTGCTCTCGTGGCCACCCTCTTGCCCCCTGGCTCATGCTGGGGTTCCCACATAACTTACACAGCCTCCTCTCTGCCTGCAGAGCCCTGACATCCCAGCTGAGCTCTCTGGGGGGTGCCACGGCTTCTCCAGGAAGTTCATGCGCTGGCAGGAGGAGTTGATTTTAGGCGGCACGACCAAAGACTCCCAGGGCAAGTTACTAAGGTGAGAGCCATTGGGATGCTACACGGTGGGCATTCACCCAGGCAGCAGTTTATCCAGCAGCTGATCCCTGCCGAGCACTTACCTGTGAGACACTTTGGGACAGTGTCCCCTCATCCAGGGCCCAAGGGACCCTGCCCCAGCTGTAGGAGAGGTTGTGGACCTGTGTGAGGTCCCTGCAGCTCCTGTCTGGGAGCTGCAGAGCATGGGCGGAGGGAGAGGGAGTGTGTGTGGGGCTGGCAAGCAGGGCAGTGTGTTGGAGGAAGGCTGGGGGAGAAAGGGATCAGGACTCCTGGGCTTTGGCAGATCGGAGCGAAGGATGAGTGACCAAACTCCTGGGTCTCTGGCCAGTTCTGGCTGAAAAGATTGTGCAACGGGAGGAGGGGCTGTGCGGGAAATCGTGGCTCCTCCATGGCTCAGCGCTGCGAGAAGAGTGAGATCCACGGCTGAGGGTGGGTGTCAGGACCCCTGGATTCACTCCCCATTTCCATTTTGGGGATGGGAGCCACAAGGGTGAGGGGGGACCCCGCTGCCACAGCAGGGGTGCCACAGCTGGTCCCAGCAGGTTGTGTGCATGTCCCCCAGCGCTGAGGCCCTGCAGACCATGTTCCTCCTCATGAGCCCTCGGCAGCTGTTTGAGCACTTCAAGGACGACTATGAGATCCATGACATCAGCTGGAGCGAGGAGAAGGCGAGTGCCATCCTGGAGGCCTGGCAGAGGAAATTCGTTGAGGTAGGCACTGGGGCTGGCGCTCAGCCTCCATGCAGGGCTGCGCAGGGGTTACCCTGCACACAGCATTCCCCCCCCTGCACCCAGCCTTCAAATGGCTGCTGATCCTAGTGCCACTCTCTCCTAGTCTTCCATTGCCCAGAGAGTCATGGGTACCTGGTGGCCCTTGGAGGTGACGTTTACCCACCCGGGTGGCTCTTGGGATGGGCATGTGAGGGACTGGGGGGCCTGGCCTGTGTAACGGGGTATGTGTCTGCCAGCTGGCACAGGACTCCATCCCGCCCAACGCCACGCAAAACGTCCACGCTTTCTCCACCACCACACTCAACGACATCATGAAATCCTTCTCCGATGTCAGTGCCATCCGGGTGGCTGGAGGCTACCTCCTTATGGTGAGTATCCCCCTCTCTCTCCAACTCCTGCCATCCATCCCTCGCCTCCATGTCCCCACTAACCTTCTGCCCTCTTCCAGCTGGCCTATGCCTGCGTCACTATGCTGCGATGGGATTGCTCCAAGTCCCAAGGGGCTGTGGGCCTGGCTGGGGTCCTGCTTGTGGCTCTCTCCGTGGCCTCAGGCCTGGGACTTTGCTCTCTGCTCGGCATCTCCTTCAACGCGGCCACCACGCAGGTATATGCTTGAGGAGGTGCTGGGTACCATGGGGCGGGCAGGGATCTGCCCTCAGGCTGTGGGGTGTGAGGTGTCTGCGTCCCCTCTCCTCTCTGGCGGTGGCTGTGTCCCCATGCTGATGCCGGCTGCTCTCTGGCAGGTCCTGCCATTCCTGGCCCTTGGCATCGGTGTGGACGACATGTTCCTCTTGGCTCATGCCTTCACCGAGACCAGCCCACACATCCCCTTCAAGGTGAGTGCTGCACCCTGCCCTGGGACTCCCCATCTCCCCCCAGCACCCTGTGGCCCTTCTTGTCACTGTGCCTCTCTGTTCCTTCCAGGAGCGGACAGGTGAGTGCCTGAAGCGCACGGGGACCAGCGTGGCTCTCACCTCTGTCAGCAACATGATTGCCTTCTTCATGGCGGCCTTGGTGCCCATCCCTGCCCTGCGCGCCTTCTCCCTCCAGGTACAGCCTCATGCCATGCTCCTGCCTGGGTCTCTCTCTGGGGAGCAGAGACTCTCCCTGGGGGTGGGAGGGGGTGGTTGCATCCTGTTCTGATGTGTCTCTCCATCCGCAGGCTGCAGTGGTGGTTGTGTTCAACTTTGCTATGGTGCTGTTCATCTTCCCGGCCATCCTGAGCCTGGACCTGCATCGCCGGGAGAAGCGCCGCCTCGACATCCTCTGCTGCTTCTACAGGTACTGTCTGCCTCCCACTGGGAACTGGGCACAGGGGCACGCCTAGGCTTGGGCAGAGGATGGATCTGACCCTCGTATCCCTCTCTAGAAGTGGTCACATGGGACAGCCCAGCAAATTTCCCTTAACATCTTCTCTTTTCCCTTCTTTTCTCTCTTCTCCCTTCCCTTCTTTGCCCACAGCCCTTGTTCCTCACGGGTCATCCAGATCCAGCCCCAGGAGTTTGCGGATGCCAACGACAACCATGCCTCCCACCCATCCCCCTATGGGCACCCTGGCATGGCCACCAGCACCCAGATCACCACCACTGTGCAGGCCTTCACCCAGTGTGACTCCTCGGGCCACCACATTGTCACTGTCCTACCGCCCACCTCGCAGGTTTGCACTTCACCGGCAGTGCTCCTGCCCCCCGCTGACCCACTGGGCTCGCAGGTCTTCACCCCGTCCAGCTCCACACGGGACCTGCTGGCCCAGCTGGACGAGGCCAAGGGCAGGCGGGAGTGTGTGCCCCTGCCCTTCTGCCGCTGGAGCCTCTCTGACTTCGCCCGGGAGAAGTACGCCCCACTCCTGCTGCAAACCCAGACCAAGGTGAGGTGGGGGACGATTCTGGCTATGCAGTGCGAGGGGGTTGGTGGTCTGGGCACCGTGTTTGACCTACTGTCCCTGCAGGCCGTGGTGGTGGTGCTGTTCCTGGCGCTGCTGGGACTGAGTCTCTACGGCACCACCATGGTACATGACGGGCTGTACCTGACGGACATTGTGCCACGGGACACCAAGGCTCATGCCTTCATCTCAGCCCAGTTCAAGTACTTCTCCTTCTACAATATGTTCATCGTCACCAAGGGTGGCTTTCACTACCCTGGGGCCCAGGCTGCCCTGCTTAGCCTGCACCAGGCCTTCAGCACGGTCAAGTATGTGGTGCGTGAGGGCAACCACGACCTGCCCAAGATGTGGCTGCACTACTTCCAGGACTGGCTGCGAGGTGAGGGACACCTCTTTCCTTCCTCTCCATGTCCTCCCCTGCCCCGGGACCTCTCCCCAGCCTACACACTGCCCACCTGCACAGGTACAGCTTCCCCACTATGTGGCAGCCTCTAGGAGCCCCCAAGGGTGGGAAGTCCCACAGTTCCTGCAGGCCCAGCAATGCCAAGTCAAGACCTGGGTGTCTCTGCGTGACTGTTTTGCTGGCATTGCACTCCCTGGGGTGCATTGGGGGGGGGCTCTGCAGGGCTCTGGTCCCCAAGAGACGCTCACATCCCATGCTGTATCCCCAGGGCTCCAGGCCACCTTCGACAGGGACTGGCAAGCCGGGCGCATCACCCATGACAGCTACCGCAATGGCTCTGAGGATGGGGTGCTGGCATACAAGCTCCTAATCCAGACTGGCAACAAGAAGGAGCCCTTCAACTTCAACCAGGTGCGTGGGGGTGGGACTGGCACAGACAGGGGGTAGGCTCAGCCTCTCTCCAGGGTGGGGGTTGCAGGCTGCCGTACTGTGGCACGATTGGGCTGGGAACAGAGCTGCATAGCTGGGCTGTGCCTTGTTGTGCCATGCCCACTGCTCCGTTCATGCCTGGTCCTGCTCTCTCCCCGTAGCTGACCACACGGCGGCTGGTAGATGAAAACGGCATCATTCCGCCCGACACCTTCTACATCTGCCTGACAGTGTGGGCCAGCAACGACCCCCTGGGCTTTGCCGCCTCCCAGGCCAACTTCTATCCCCCGCCACCCGAGTGGATCCACGACAAGTACGACACCACGGGCGAGAACCTGCGAAGTGAGTGGCACGTGGCGGGGTCCCCTCCTACCCCCAAGCATCCCCCTGCAGAGAAATCCTCTGTCCCCACACCTTTTCTGCCCCACAAACAGGAGAAACCCTCCTGCTCCCTGCATCCCTTAACCCATGAGCATTCCCCCACAGAGAAACCACTCCACTGTTGGTCCCACATTCATCCCCCTGCAGAGAAAACCCCTGCTACCTGCACCTCCTGACACTCTGAGCATCCCCCCACACGAGGAGCATCCCACTGCAGAGCCCCCCTTGCCCATGCCCTCATGCTGCCTATGATCTCCTCCCCAGTCCCAGCAGCCCAGCCACTGGAGTTTGCCCAGTTCCCCTTCTACCTGAGTGGGCTGCGTCGCACAGCCGACTTTGTGGAGGCGATTGAGAGTGTGCGGGCCATCTGTCGGGAGGCTGCCGAACGCCACGGGGTGCTGAGCTACCCAAGTGGGTACCCTTTCCTCTTCTGGGAGCAGTACATCGGCCTGCGCCACTGGTTCCTGCTGGCCATCAGCATCCTGCTGGCTTGCACCTTCCTCGTTTGTGCCCTGCTCCTGCTCAACCCCTGGACGGCTGGCATCATCGTGAGTACGCGCCCTGCCACCTTCCCACCAGATGGGGACGGGCCAGCCCTGCTCCCCTCCTGCCGGATGGCCCTGGGTGCCTGCTTCATCTGGAGGCGATGGGCAGGTGGCCGGCTACACTCTATATGGATGGGACAGGGGCTTGGGGACATGCCATATGGTAGAGGTGGGGGACACCCCTATGGAGGAGGCAGTAGGTGGGGATGCCCATATGGAGGGATCTGGGAAATGCCATGTAGAAGGAGCAGTAGGTTGGGAACACTCTATATGGTGGGATCCAGGACACCCATATGGAGGGAACTGCGGGTTGCTGACACCCTATTTGGAAGCGGCAGCGGGTTAGGAACGGCCCATACGTGGGTCAGGTCTTGGGGGCACTTTGTGTAGAGGGGATGGGGACCACCCCCTATTATAGAGGGGAACAGAGGGACACCCCAAAAGGAGGGGAAAGGGGCAATGGAGTGCGGATACCCTGTATGGAAGGGTAGGGACAGGGCTACCCATCAGGGCCACTCGCGCTGACCCCCAATGACCCCCAGGTCTCCATCCTGGCCATGATGGCAGTGGAGCTGTTCGGCATCATGGGGCTGATGGGCATCAAGCTGAGTGCCATCCCTGTGGTCATCCTCATCGCCTCGGTAGGCATCGGTGTGGAGTTCACCGTCCACGTGGCCCTGGTGAGTGAGTGCAGATCTGGCCCAGCTGTGGGGTACCCCACTAGCCATGTGTCAGGAGGGGACATGGCTGTGGCATGGGCAGCACGCCGGGATAAGCCCCACGTGACGCTCCGACCTTCTGCAGGGCTTCCTGACGGCCGTGGGGAGCAGGAACGTGCGCTCGGCCGCGGCACTGGAGCACACCTTCGCCCCTGTGATGGATGGTGCCGTCTCCACTCTCCTGGGTGTCCTCATGTTGGCTGGCTCTGAGTTTGACTTCATCATAAGGTGAGCACTGGCCTCCCTGTCAGCATACGGCAAGGTGGGGATGCCAGCTTGCTGCCACCCAAAAGCTTATGCAGAGGGGGCGATAAGCGAGGCAGCCCCCTTGGATGGCAATGGGGATGTAGGGCAGCTGGCGAGGATGTGCCCCTCCATGGGGTAGGGGATAGGCTGGTGGCCCTGTGCAGGGGGCTGTGCAACCGGAGGGGGGCGGCGATGGGCGTACCCCACTCTGGGAGGTCCAGGGAGGGGAAGGAAGTGAGGGGAAATGCAGCCTGCTGGGAAATACCATAAATATTCCCAGTGTAAACATTTCCCCTCGGCTGAGCGTGGGACAAACAGCTCGGGAGCCACTTTCCAGAGGACAGAGGGGGACCGCGAGGGTGCTGACTTGCTCCCGCATAGGGCTTGGGGGAGCGAGGGGTTCCCCAGCAGGAACGGGGCTGGGTGTGTGGCTGCTGGACATTTTTTGAGGTGGGATGGGGTTCATGGGCAGCAGTGCCGCCTCACCCCCCTCTGCCCATGGTCCACGCAGGTACTTCTTTGCGGTTCTCACCATCCTGACACTGCTGGGGCTGCTCAATGGGCTGGTGCTGCTGCCTGTCCTGCTCTCTGTCATCGGGCCTCCCCCTGAGGTACAAGACCCCCATCCCGCTTCTCCCCATCCCTCCCTCACCCCACACCTGCCTCATCCTGTCCCCCTCTGCCCCATCTCTCTGTCACACTATACGCACCTCTATTCATCCCCCGTTTCCCCTGACCCCGCCTCACCTTGTAGCCCCTTCACCCTATACCATCCCTTCCTTACCCGATCCTAACCTTGCCCTCTATCCTGTAGCCACCTCACACCATCTTTCACCCCATAACATCCTGGCTTCACTCCATCCCCACCTCACCCTGTCCTTTCTTTGCCCCATATCCAGCTCGCCCCAGACTCCTTTCACTCCATCCCTGCTTCACCCTGTATCCACTTCACCCCATCTCTCCCTCACCCTGAACAGCCCTTGCCCCATCCCCACTTCACCCCACATTCCCCTTGCCCCATCCCCACCTTGCTCCATCCCTGTCCCACACTCCCCTTACCCTGTGGTCACCCACTTCCTGCACGTCCCTGGGTCGCCTGACACTGTCCCCTCTCTCTGCAGACATCCCCCGCAGATAACAGTGCCTGCCTGCCCCCACCGGAGCCGGTGCCCCCGTGCCTTGGCCCCCGGGGGCTGTACATCCGGCGTGCCCCAGGCTGGCCGTCGTGCCCCCCGCCCCAGCACACATCCTCCTGGAGGCCGGCAAGGACCCCAGCTTCCCCCGCATCACTGTGAGTATTGCTCCATGCCCACTCCAACGCTCCCCGACACCCGTGGGCTTCGGGCATCTCTAAGGGCTGCCAGCTCTGCAGTGGTGGCCTCAGCAGGGGGGATCAGGACTCTTGGGTCCTCTCGGTGGCTCTGCAGGGGAGTGAGGTTTAATGGTTATAGCAGGAGGCTTGCTCCGTTCCTGTGCCTCCCATCCCTCTGCGAGGGGATCCCTGCCTGGCACGGATCCCGCTCACGCGCGTCTCCCCACCAGGTGCTGAAGCCCTACAAGGACAGCCCGGAGGTATCGGGGAAGAAGGAGCCACCTGGCCCGCAGCAGGTGCCCCCGCTGCCCTTCGGGGAGCCATGCCCTG